ATGAATAATGATAGTTCCTCAAACATTCATGTTACGACTTTATAGATAAACTGTAACCGTAGCCGAAACTATCGGATATCCGCTATAAAAAAATTGAAATAAAAGTTTCGGATAATATCTGATAGGGGTCCGCCCCTTATTGAGACACGTTATGACAAGTTGTTTTAATACGGCCGGTTGGCAGCCGCCACACTAGCCGCCATCGTCCTTTTGCATTGTTTGTTTAACTAACTTTATCTACTTATAATTAATAATAAAAACATTAACGCACAATGCATCTGAGTATTCTTGTTTATGTTTTGAAATTAAATATGTAATGAAATTAATAAGTAGTTGATAATGATTTATGAATCAATTTATTTATTTATATTTTTGGAAGACCAACAGCTATTAATAAAAGTAATAAAAACTTAAATAACAACAGAAAGCCAATTACAGGTCTTCACCAATAAAAACACACTACACCATAATTAAGCACACATAATAATTACAAACAAAAAAAAAGCATTGTACAATTGCCTATCCGTCGAAAAATGCACTGCTCAATACCCGCCTTAGTGATGAAACGCTTGCGTAAAACAAATCTATGCCAGTTTTCTCAGATAAAATATTATAACTAATACCTGCACGCAAGAGATACGAATTCTGTCTATAGTTTGAGGTTGCCTGTGGAACGCATATAAGGGGATTAAATCTAAGTATTTTTTTGTAGCCCTAAGGGAAATCCTAGACAGTAGTGCTGGGCAGTCGATAGCACCAGAAGCTATTTTTAATAAAAATATTAAATCTGACAGTCCAAAAAATTTGAATGAAAATAATTAGAAAAAGCATTATTGATTGAATTACCTGTATTGAGAATAACATCACCTTGGGTAAGACAAAGGGTGTTTAACTCATCCACCAAGAATTTTTCATCATCAGAGTCATAATTTGATGGAGCAAAGGAGTTACAATCGACATCACTTGGAGTCCAAGCAATTCTACTAAGGTTGAAATCTCCCACTATCAGATATTTGTCATTTGGATGTCGAATGAAGACTTCACCTAAATTATTAAAGAAATTAAAAAGTAGTTGTGAGTAAGATAATCCCAAGTTTTCCCTACATAAATAAACGACACAAATATGAACATTTAAGTGAACGTTAGTCCCGCGTTGCTTCAGCACAAACGTCAGCCACAAATCTTCAGCACTCGAGTGGAATGCTGGCTGCGGCACGACTGCGAGATCCCGGCGTACCGCCACCAGTACACCACCTCCATAAACCTGACTGGTTGCGGCGTAGTTACGGTCGCGACGCCAAACAACATAACGACTGTCAAAAAGTTCCACAACTTTAATACTATCTACCAGCCACGTCTCAGTAATTATAATAATATCGTAGTTACAAGTACATAAATTACGAAAAAACAAAGTCGTTTTAGTGCGTAGTCCCCGCGCATTTTGGTAATAAATATTGTAGGAGTTATTATGTGTATTAGCCATTTGTAAAAAATAAAATAAACATAGCAAAGACACAGCGCACCAAAAAATCAAAAAATAGTTTTATAAAAGTAATGAGATTCTGTGTGTATGCATAATAATAATAATAATAATAATTACTGTTATTTCTTATTTCGCACATAACAATAATGTACCCAGTTGCTACAGGGGAATCGGCAGCCAGTGCGATAACGCACAATAGCGAGGCAATGACGTAGTAAGCACAGCAGGTATTACAAACCTTTTACACAAAATTATCATGCGTCTTACATAAACACGTTTTGAAATATAAAGCAATTTAAATATTAACATAAAAGCAAACAAGAAAACTAGTTTTAAAATTAGGTACACAATAAAGAGCTGGTAGTAAGCTAAGCGATTTTGTTTAAATCGTCTTCATTAGTAATGATATAAACACTGGATTTGTCATTCTTTCTCATGTGAATTTTACAGTACTTTACCCACACGTAACTATATTCTTTTTCCTTGGCGATTGATTTGGTTTTCGTAAGTAAATGTTTATATTCCGAGGTGAGATGATCATCGACGAAGATTCTTTGAGTATTACTTACAAAGCCGATATCCGAAGCTACAAACTCTTTCTTCGCACGCGCTGCAGCAATTAACTCTTCCTTAATGTATCGATTGTTAAAGTTTATAATTATCGACTTTTCTTTGCTATTATAAACGGGTACTCTGGCGATGTAATTAATTTGGTTTTTCGGAAAACTATAGCCTACTGCCACGGTCAATGATTCAGTCAGCTCGAATAAGTTTTCTCCGGACTTCATAGGTACGCCTTTAAACTCAACATTATAGAGCCGCGCCCACTGTTCCTTTAGTGCTTACTCCTTCTTAAAGGCAGTGATTTCATTGGCAGCAGAGTTAAAAGAAGATTGAACATTGACTATCCCGGACACTCTGTTTTCTAAGTCGGAGATCTTCAATTCTTGTTCATCTAATTTAGCGCTGTAAAAATCACAAGACGATTTAAGATCTTCTAGCTCTCTCTTGATGCATTTGACGTCTTCAACGAGTGTGGGAAGACTGGAAAGTTGATGCTTCATATCACGTATCTCGCTAAGTGAAATCTCCAGGACGGAATCACCTCCCAGACTAGGCGAAGATGATCTCGACAGCTTACACTGGGGACATTTCCATGCCAGTCTGCGTTCAGGTCCCAGTTTCCTATACCCTGTCTCGGTAATATTTGAACAATTGAAGTCTAAATACTTTTTACACGCCCCACACTGGACTCCGTCATTGAATGATGCATCACACACAGCACACTTCATATTAACACAGCAAAAGAGCCAAGCCCAACAAATGACAAAAAGGTTGATAATGTATGAACGACGAGCGGATAAGTTGTACACGTACTACCTAAGCGAGTGCGCACGGTGAACTGGAAAAATGTACTAATGATTCAGTGAAAATATCACATAATTCTTTCGAAAGCTTTTATTTAATTTGCAATGTATGTTGTATGTTCGGGTCAAATCTTGTAAATGAATGTTGAAGCAGTTATCCTGAACCGATTGAGATGAAATTTTGTATACATGTTTAGTAAGAATATCAATGCATGGGTTGCTAAGTGACGTCCTTCTAAATCCAACATGGCGGACAACCCACGACAGCAGTTTTTTAGCAGGCAATTTTTATGCACGCATATGATATGAGTATCAAACAAAATCGTTTGTTGAGAAGAATACGAATAAACCGACGTCGTTTATATATACGCTTGGTTTTAAAATACAAATAAATTCAAGTGATCCATTGTTCCACGAACCTGAAATGGTCGTAATGAAACGGGGGAAAGCGGACCTTTCATTGCAATGTAACAGATATTGCTGTTTTATCATTTCGATACAAATATACTTTCCTACGTACATTATTATGAGGATATCTTGGGTAGGTGTAGGTAACCACTTATTCAAATGGATGGAATAGGAAGATTGAGCCATGCCGTTCACGACTCATCTTGTAACCACTGTATTTAATTGTATTTAATGGAATCCTTAGTTCTATTGCATTCGCAACTAAAATCGTTTAGTAAAAATTGGGTAGTGTAATAGCCGTTTTAGTAATCTGTGGTTTATTCAATGGAACTGATTTGCGGGCACTTCATTTGGCTGTTTGTGTAAGCTTTAAATAAACTTGTCTTCAACCCGTCCTTTTCATTCCTTAAAGCATGATAAGGACAGACTGTTATCAAGTTCACAAATAGCCATGACGAATAGTCAAGTGAAGTGCCTATTATAGAGTAGCTTTTGCATAATGGTATCGATTCCGACATGATTCTCTCTAGGGATATCGAAAGTAGAAAAAATATCGATATATCGATATTTAAAAAAATATCAATATCGGATTCAATATATCGCGAAAAAAACATCGATATATCGGACAAATTTTCCCAAAAATATATTTAGGTCAGCATAGCACAGTAATAATAGTTCAATACAAATTATGATTAAAGAAAGAATTATCAAAGTACCATATTGCCGCTACACTACATGACAGTACAGTGGTGTCGATTCTAGCATGATTCTCTAAACCTAACTTAAATTTAACAGCAGTATATCCTTGTCATTCTCTGTACAGAATGAAAAGGAGAGACTGATGTTAAATTTAGTTTTAAGTTTAGAGAATCATGCCAGAATTGGTACCAGTATCTCACGAAATATGACACGCGGAATAATAATGGAACGAAAATTATCTCCCTAAAAATAGACCCTATTTTCGAATGATGAAAATGACTGCAGGGCCTCTCAGGTGCCATCTTTCGTAAACAAGCCTAGACAGTCACGCACTTCCACAGAATATAATGGAAATCAGAACAACCAATTCACCAGCGAAACAGATTTACAAATAATAGACAATACTAAATACAGCACAGATCATAGATATGTTGAATATCATTAATCTGAGATCCAGTTTCGATTTTTCCAGATACGAATTTAGTTAGATCGTGATATGCCGCTAATAATTAAAAAAATATCGTTTTTGATACGAATTTCGTAATTTGGTTATTTTGTATCAATGTATCGATATATCGAATCAAAATATATCGACAAAAAATATCAATATATCTAATAAAATATATCGATACATCGATATATTTTCAACAAGCCTAATTCTCTCTCTAAAGTAAACCTAAACTTTTTGACAACAATGCATCCTTCCTTGTATTCCTTATTCCTTGTCAATTCTCTATACAGAATGAAAAAGAAAGACTGATGTTTTAAATTTAGTTTTAAGCATAGAGTACATTGTTATATGTTTTAAGTTTAGAGAATCACGTCAGAAGCGGCACCAATTTCATTCATGTTTTTTATATAAAATTAGGGCACTGTCACAGCATGTAGCATAGAGAAAAGTAAATATACCAAACAGAAGGCATGTAGCATGCTAAAAGTGGTGTCACCATTTGAATGAAAGAGGAGACCTTTATAAGATACCACTTCAGACCCCATGTTCTAAAACCTACCCCCTGAAATTAACCCCACGCTTAGGGATAATAATGTGGTAAGTCGTTAAAGTTCTCTAAATAAATACCTACTATTGGAGAATTCATTATCTAATTATTTTGTTTTTAAATAAATTTCAATAGTTCCGAATCGGTGCCGAAGAATTTTGAAAAAGCATCGGATATATTACCTTTGTTAACATATGGCTTAACAAGTGTTAAAGAATTTTGCAAAGCGGAAGAAGAAAAAAGTCATCAAGAATGGCTAAAAAAAGCTGGTTTGGATGAAGAAGAACTTCATTTGCTGAATGAAATTCAGTCTGATTTGCCTAAACATTCTAGTAAAATAGAGTCAAGCATACTCAACACTAAACTTGAAAGCATAAGAAATAAAATCAGTAATTTACCTGAAAATGATGGCTCGTAAGTAACCTTGTTTTAGTTTATGCTATTATTCAATAGGCCATTTTATTTTTTTAATAACTAAATAATCACAGTTGTGTTGAGTGTCATACAAATTTTGATACATTGCTTTCAGTTCAAAACAAAATGATCAAGATCTTGAGAGGCATACTAGTAGATTTTATCCTAAAGGACATCCTATGCATCAGCTTAAGGAACTTGAAGAAAATATTTTTGGACATTTGAAGGATGATCGTTTGCCAATAACAAAACGTAGAAAAATATTGAGGCATCTGGAAAGAAAACAAGAAAGAACGCTTTCAAAACAAATCCTAACACCAGTCATAAGTGACCAAGTGAATCAACAGATGACAGTGAATAGACATGGAAGTCTGTGGGATGTAAAAGAAATTCCTCCTACAACCTCAGTAACACAATCAAAACTTTCTTTGCATGAAAACAGAAATAATGAAATGGATGGTAAAGGAATGTCTAAGATTGGTCCAAGACAACCAACTATGTATACTGTAAAAGAAAATAAGATTGTGAGATTAGAGCCTTTGAATGATCAAGATGAGGTTAAGGCTGTAGATATTGTTATACCAGTTAATTCAGCCGAAGTTCAATTATTAGAAGGTACAAAAATGTCTTTAAATAACATTAGAAAAATTGACAGATTTAAAGGCTATGAACCAGGAATACCATCCAAGGTATCTCATCTCTCTCTTCATCTTCCTTTCACTTCGTGAACTTATGTACTCAATTAGATTTTTGTGTCTCTTAAATTGTTTACAGGTTTTGTATTTGAAAAATATTGCACCATCTGTGACACAAGATAGACTATCATCATTATTTAAGCAATTTGTTTATGACAATGGTGGACCAATAGATGTTAGATTGATGTCTGGACGCATGAGAGGGCAGGCTTTTGTAGCCTTTCAAAGTAAGTGCACACAAAATTTTATAATATAGATACTTAAATAATGAAGGTGATAAAGCCCAATCCAGAAATATCTGTAGTAAACAATATTATTTTAAATATCTGTAGTAAACAATATTATTTTAAATATCTGTAGTAAACAATATTATTTTAAATATCTGTAGTAAACAATATTACTCCTGTCTAGGAACCTTCACCTAAAGACTGGTGACTTGTTTCTGTCAGTCAGCAAGGTTTCCAAGGCTTCACAGACAATGGGATGGGGTTAGGTTATGTTAGGATACACAAAGTTTTAAATATCTATATGAAAAATAAAAAGAGCTTTAAATAATCAATTCATTTATTTAAATTTTAGATGAAACCATGGCTAAACAGGCTTTGGAGGATGTCAACGGTACTATAATTAAAGGTCGACCAGTTATTATTCAATTTGGAAAGAATAGCAACAGAATACAAACTGACAAAAATAGATAATTTTTGATGGGATTCTACATCATAGATAGTTTTAATTATGGTTCTTATCAATAAGGTGAATGTCTTTTTTCATTAAGTTTATAATTTACAATATTTTATGTTATAGTATAATAAAATGTATTTCTAACTTTATTCACCTTAAATTAGTTGAATATCTAGACATTATTTCATTATAGAGTAAAAGCTCCTTATTCATGGGGTATATGTTTCAGAAATATGCTGTGAATTCAGAAACGTGAATATGGAGTGGCAATTTGTATGGCAAATAAAGAATATTACAGTGGATCCCCGGTAGTCCGACAAACATTTTGCAGGGCAGTGTCGAACTATCGAATTTGTCGGATTATAGATTACTGCCTAAGACCCCTATAGTCTGATTTATTTTCCAAAAGAGTACCTTGTAATCTGACAAATTACAGATCCAATGAAAAGATTACAAATCATACTTCATTATGTATGTCAAATTTAATAAATTAAACAACACAATAGAAAGATTATGTTTTATTATAAAAGTAATAATAATAAATAGTGATGGTGTGTACAAGTTGTAACTTTAGTACAGTCAATCTGTCGAAAAAAATATCGTTTCAGTGAAAAAAAAACCTAAAGGATAAGTCTTGTTTTTTCTGTTGACAAATGACGTCAGTAAGCCACCTTGGCGATGGGCATGTTCAACTCGTAGGCGTTTTTTGAAAAACTCAAAAAAACCGTCAAAAATTTTTTGAAACACATTTTTCTTGTTTTGTATGCAGTTTAGAAACTTTTTTTTCAACCATAATTGTAGAGGGCGTTGAGTGCTACAATTTATGTCATTGTTGCAATCTCGTACAACAAAAAATGCGCATTGTAGGTGGCGCTAAAGTCACAAAAAAGTGTTTTTTCACTTTTTCACCCTGAAAATATCATTTTAATGGAAAACTTTAAATGGCGAAGTTGTTTCGTACATAATTACCAACAACTTTTGTATAAACAATTTTTTTGTATTACTTACCGTTTTCAAGTTATAAATTGCGCAGGTATGAAAAATCCAATAGAGCGGTTTTGGGCAGTTCAAGTACACATTTGCAGTGCACATTTCAATGTACGTTTTTACTATTTTTTTTCACTCATGAAAAGAATAAAAATAAAACTATTTTTTTTTCATTTTTTTTTGTTTTTCAATCATGAAAAAAAAATAAAAAATAGTAAAACGTACATTGAAATGTGCACTGCAAATGTGTACTTGAACTGCCCAAAACCGCTCTATTGGATTTTTCATACCTGCGCAATTTATAACTTGAAAACGGTAAGTAATACAAAAAATTGTTTATACAAAAGTTGTTGGTAATTATGTACGAAACAACTTCGCCATTTAAAGTTTTCCATTAAAATGATATTTTCAGGGTGAAAAAGTGAAAAAACACTTTTTTGAGACTTTAGCGCCACCTACAATGCGCATTTTTTGTTGTACGAAATTGCAACAATGACATAAATTGTAGCACTCAACGCCCTCTACAATTATGGTCGAAAAAAAAGTTTCTCAAATGCATACAAAACAAGAAAAATGCGTTTCAAAAAATTTTTGTAGGTTTTTTTGAGTTTTTCAAAAAACGCCTACGAGTTGAACATGCCCATCGCCAAGGTGGCTTACTGACGTCATTTGGCAACAGAAAAACCAAGACTTACCCTTTAGGTTTTTTTTTCACGACTCAACCTACAGATTGACTGTACTAGTTGTTCAATCGTGAATTAGCGAATACTTGAATGGGGCGTCCATAAATTACGTGAGATGTTTAAGGGGGGAAGGGGGTCAAGTCAAATCTCATCTAATCTTACGTTGGAGAGGGGGGGTCTCGGCAAATATCACGCAATTTTTTGAAGTTATACTTCTTTAGGCGCGTTATGAAAAAATGATGAGAGTGAAATTTTAAGATGCGCGCGCATCACTGTAACACAAAATTTTAACAGCATGAAGTTGGTCGCTTTAGCGACCAACTTCATGCGTTACTTTTGTGTTTACCGCACATTAAGAAAATCTACCAATAAAATAGAAATATAATCTATATTCAGTGGGTGCTAACGACTGCATTGTGAAGGCCTGTCAAAAGTATTTATTAATCTGGAACAACGGAACCAAAGCGCGATTCAGGATACTACAGCGCCATCTCTTGACCATTGGTGTAGTAGAACCAAAAACCACATCTTTATTTTTTGTAATAAAGTAACAGTTATAGGTATTCATATTTATAATATTTATCCACATGTTTCTAGTTTGTATATTCGGAATACGTGTTTGAGTTTCATACAAGTGCAAATCACATAAGTTCTAATAAATTATATTCAGTAGCGATTTTAATTAAATATTTTGATTATTTATTTATTTTTTCAAATTAAAACTGAACTTTATTGACTGTGTCCTTTTCCAGACTTTTTATTAATTTATTGTAATTAATTATTTGCATGCAATTAAAAACTAATTTTAAACGATGCCAAAGAAGGATAACTTCTCACGCGCCTACATAAGTACACGCACCCATTTTTTTTCTGATTGAAACAAAAAAAAAAGTATTTTCGTCCATTTAATTCAGATTGTACATGCTTAAGATTTAATGTTAAGCGTAATCATAATACGATTAAGATCATTCACTAATTCGTTCGAAAGAAAATAATTTCATTCATAGTTCGAAGTTATACATCTACTGACTGTCAAACCACTATATTTGTTGTATACCAAATAGCTCAATTTAAACTGAATAAAATAAAAGCACGAAACTATTTTTTTTTCTTTTTACAATAATAATTCATGAGTTTACGTAAGAAACCCTCATTTTGAAAATTCTCACATGAGATTGGGGGATGGGGGAGGGGGTTGAATAAAATCTCACGACATCTCACCAGGGGGGGATGGAGGGACAGAAAATTCAAAAATACACCTCACGTAATTTTTGGACGCACCCTATGTAATAGACGATGTCGGATTATAGGGGGTGCCGTATTAGCCAGGGGCCGGATTACCGGGGCTCCACTATATTAATTAATCAATTTAATTGAAGTTTTTCACAATATTGTTTAATTTTTACTGTCAGGAGTTGGCAAGAGTTTAAAGAACTTTTACTTCAAGCGGTAGCACTAATTTTTTCTTTTTTTTAGTTAACATCTAAAAATTAGGAGACATGTTACTTGATAATGATTTTTATAATGAATACTAGCTGTCCCAGCGATCTTCGTACCCCCATAAAAAATAGGGGTTGGTGGTAAAGGGGTGAAAATTTAGGGTTGTATGTATTTTTGTATGATGTATCATAAAAAAATAAAAACAAAAAATTTTGTTCATGTAAATAATTAAGGGTGGACGACACTTACATTTACGGAGATGAAAAATAGATGTCTGATTCTCAGACTTCCTCAATATGCATATAAAATTTCACGAAAATCGGTCGAGCCGTTTCGGAGTTCTTCAATTACGCACACCGTGGCAAGAGAATTTTATATATTAGATTAAATAAAGGCAGACTATAAACCACGCAAAGCGGCTCTTACCAAAGGGCATGCCGGATGGCAGATCGTCTAAAACTTAAGGTGGTGGGCATTTAACAATATACCTACTTTAATCATAGAGTAATAAGATGGTTTTAATTAAATATTTTTAAACATTATTCTGTTCATTTACTTTTTTTTCTGTTCATTTATCAAAAACACCTACCGCGGCGAAGGCAGTTCATATCAAAGGAAAAGGCGAATCGTGACATGCACCTTTGATACCATTTGACAAGATAGTTTAGGCTAAGTTGTGATATGATCTTTTGTACTTTTATAATTACTCTATCTTTCGACGCATTAACAAAGGGTACCGAATCATCATTATTTCAATTATATCTGCGAATATAGGAATTTGGTGGCAATTTCTTAAGGAAGCGTGAATAAGGAGCTTTTATTGTATTTTAATTACACATTAAACAAATTTTCATCTTAAGCTACGCTTAAGCTTATAGTAGATGTTCTGATCATGGTATTCTCTGCATAAATTTCAAATATAAGAAAATCTATTGATTTATAATGAATATATGTTACTATACTGCTATCATATACCAATAAAAACTTCCAAAAACGCACACTTTTCTTCCAACACTCACTTATGAATTGTATATGCCTTTATATTAGTTTTCAGCTAAACAACATCACAATTTCACTATCATTTATAAACACTTACACATAGTAATTACATGCACAAATGTCTCCATGTTACTAGAGTTCAGTTTATATGGAGAAATACGTCTTGTAAGAGCACACCGTAAGCACTCGGGCGTATTCATGGGGTGTCCTTCGACGAGGACTTGCGCCGCCGCTTGACGACGCGTTTCGGCGATAATCATTCGGACTCCTTCTTGGCAGGTGGTTCATCCGCTGCGAAACACAACATGTTATTAAAAATACATCAATTATTATGAATACATATATAGCATAAAAACTATTTCTTTTTATAGTTCGGAGAAGCAGGAAGAATTTCGTACTTTAGCCGTAACGTTTGCGAGTCCGAAATGTCATTGTCAAATGTGTACTGATTTTTAGTTCTCGTTACGTACTTTGTAGCGCTGCTGTTGAAGTTTCTATACAAAATTATACATAGACATTTCGCACTCGCAAACTATTCGAATTCGATAATGGTTCGTGTTTGGGGTACTGTTATTACTGTCTCTCGTCACTCCAGCGTAAATATAATGAGTCTCGCTCGCATAGATACAATGGCCGCCGTCCTCAGGGATCGAAAACCTTTTACCTGACACTGTAAGGTTTGTTTTTGTTTGCATGTGGTTTTGGTTGGCCTTAAGTCACGACAAAAAATCATTGGCTTGCTTGACATATTTCATAATTTTTAAATAACGCACGAGCGACATTCCATCTTGGGATGTGTTAGTGATCGCTCAGTTTTCGGACACAATTATTTATCTATTCTTAGTTTGTTGTTGTGTGGTTTTGTTATTTTTTTAAGTTTTCTTTACTATTTTAAAATGGAACCAGCGCCGTCTACCTGACGTACATTCAAGGAGTTTGTTTCCCCGCGGAAGAAAAGAAAAATGTCACACTTTAGTGTATCTGGGAAGGTAATGATTATTAGCGTATTTAAATACGTTAAAGAATCCTGAAACGCTATCGCTTACGATTTCATTTTGTTATTTCTAACCGCCGAAATACCTCACGCTCATTTTCTTTAACATTGTTATTACCAATGCAAAAGAAAAAAAAAGAGCGCGAGTCATTTGAAAACCTCAGGGGGCTAGAAATAACAAAATGAAATCGTAAGCGATAGCGTTTTCCAAAGCAATCCAGTTAGGCGATTGGCCCCCTGGCCTGCTGATAAATATTCTCCAAAAAAAAGAAATGAAGGACAAAACAGCCGATATCTTGGGCATTTCGAAATCGGCCATATATCGTATCTTAAAAGAATATACCCAAAACAGACACCGTCAAGCCAGCTGCTTCACCGAAAATAAAACTCATGAAATGAAAAGATTGGGGTTCGATAAATCGTGCATTAGGCGAATAGTGCACAGCTTTTATTTAAAAGGAGAGTTACCTACAGCAAAAAGGTACTACATGTCATAAATACAAAACGAATCCTTACTAAACATGGTTTTGACATCGTTCAAAAAAATTACTGAAACTGTCTGAAATCTGAAGTATAAGTATGTTAAACGAAGGAGAAATAACGGGTTAATCGACAGAGATGACATAGCATATCAAATATTTGAAAAATAAGAAAACTTACTGACAGCATCAATAACCAATTTATTACTTGGATGAAACTTAGGTGAATGCGGGTAAGACTATTAGAAAAATATGAAAACTTATTCAATAAATATATTTTGTAACAAGAGCAAGGCCATAGGATTGACAGAAGTGATTGTGAACCCTTAAGATGTTCGCGATATTAAGTGGTTAAATGTTTAAACTTATGTTAAATTTATTAATTTACTAGTGCAGTCGCGAAAACAAGCATTTTTGTAGGGTATGCCGACGGGTGCCGCCTCCTTCTGCGAATCGGTGATGACGCAGAAGGAGGCAGCGGAGAGGGAGTGGGAGGAGGACGCTCTAGCCGCCCCTCTCCGGCGTAGACGGGTGGGCCGAAGAAGGCAGGCAGCGGTGACTGCCGGTCTTCGACGGCCCTAAGCTGGTCTGGGCGCGGCCTGACCAGTCGCGCGTCGTAGGTGCCGCTCCGGCATAGGCCACCACGTCTGGGGACTGCGTAGTACCTTAGCGCAGTCCCCCTGAGGCGCGTTGCCCGGTCCACTCGTTGGGCCGGGCCTGCCCGGGGGCGTGCTTGGAGATGTGGCGCACGCAGGTGCGTCGGCCCCGAGACCGCCCCCATATGGGCGTAGGAGGGTACCGGGGGGTTTTAGTGGAGTAGGATCAGTTTGGCCTTCCGCACTGGTCCTGCTTGAGTAGGGTCGGCACTGTTTCCCGTGCCGACGAGTCCCACACACGCCGTGCGCCTAGTCAGCGTCACGGTATGGTGCGTAACTGCATTTCCTCTCGTCACAAAAAAAAAGGGTTTGCCGACGGGTGCTAAGAATCCTACTTATAAAGGAAACCGGCTAATTATTTTACATATAGGAGGTGAAAAAGGCTTCGTGTCAGAATCGGTATTGGTATTTGAATACAAAGGTACAGGCGATTATCACTAATCGATGAATGCAGTCAAGTTCGAAAATTGGTTTCAAGCAATACTACCGAGACTTGAGCCAAATGCAGTGGTTGTCATGGATATAGTTATAGTTACCACTCAAGACGCCAGGAGAAATTCCCAGTTACCAGTTGGAAAATAATAGATATCCAAGAATGGCTTGTATCAAAGCAAATTTTTTTTGAGGCAAAGGAAACAAAAGTCCAGCTCTTAAAAAAGGTGAAAGATGTCAAAATTCTGTACCAATCGTACGTGGTCGATGAGCTGGCAAAAGCAGTTGGTGTGGAGGTATTGAGATTACCTTCGTAACACTGCGAATTGAATCCCATCAAACTAGTGTGGGCAGACGTCAAAGTATGTGGCCCGAAAAAATACAACATTTAAGATGGCAGATGTTAAAAAACTGCTTTAGGAGGCTTTAGGCAACATTTCAGCAGAAAAATGGCAAAACTGCATTAGTCACGTAGAAAAAGAGGAATCGAAAATGTAGACAAAACTGTTGATTCTGTTGTAATAAATGTGGCAGGCGAGACGTCTTCGCAAAGCAGTTACTTCGATACTGAGGAATCGGATTCTGACTTTTTATTTCTGCTGAATTATTAACTATCTTGATTTTCATAACTTATAATATAAAATCTAAAGAAGTAATTTATGTAATAATAATAATAAAATTAATAAGTTGGTAAATTTTCTTTCTCCTTTAAATATTTCATGTGAACCGCACTAAATACAAAACTGTTTGTGACCACTGTCACAGTAGGTAAAAAGGTTCATTGCACGAAATTCTTCCTGCTCCGCGACTGGACCTAAACAGGTATACACAAATAAGTGCCAAGATTCAAAGCACAGACTCAATTTAGACTGGCAAACCTTTTATTAATTTTGACAATTTCACAGCTGCGATTTGGATTATGCCTTTGTGCATGCTATAAACAACTAAAACACTCGAATAGGTTGTACTTTGACGAAACTAGAAAACTTAAAACATCTAAAAAAAAGTTTACTAGAAAAAAATCCACGCGGACCACGCAGCTGACGGGACTCGAACCGCACCCTTCGCTATTCGGGCGAATGCACTGACCATTTTGCTAAAGCGGCCCTGACGGCCGCGTCGAATTTTCTACAGCCTTAGGCTGCAAGGCAGCGCCATCTCGTCGCATTGTAGGTAACCCGCAATGTCAAATGAATACCTTTACAGGTATTAAACATTTGAAAGAAGAAATAGCAATTATAGTTTTTATTTTTTAAGCAGAAGAAAGAAAGAATCTAGCTCGCGTGGTATTTTTTCTAGTAAACTTTTCTATATATTTAAACATCTAGCAGTTAAATGCTTAAAAAATAAAAACATAACTCAAAACATTTTTGCTTTCTTTCTGAACCTTGTTATTACCACATACAGCAATATTTACTGACAAGTAAAATGAAAATACACATGCTTAGGCAACAGTATAAAAATTCACTCTTTTTTTTAAAAAATACTTTGACAAGGTGAACATGCAAAAAACACAATTTTAAAGACTGGGAGAAGACCTATTTTGAGAACTTTGCTCTATCTAGGCGTATAAATGAACAAATGCTGAAGATGAAAACAACCTACTTTAGCAAAATAAAAAAAATTAAAAAGCTTATATAGGTATTGTTTTTAAACACGCTTTTATTAGGTCGACTTGTCGAATTACACGCACTTCTAATTCTTGTATCATCATCAAACATGGCAATTATATGTAGATTAGATAACAATACAATATTATGGTACCATCGAGCTGGTCTGATGATGGGAATGGAAGGTGACTGATGAAACCTTGGACTGTCAACTAGTAAACATATCAAGTTTGGGCTAATTAGATTCGCCTTAACATATTCTTCTATTCATTTCTCATTTATAAAAAAAGCGTGTTTTTCTAGTTTTATTTTTAAACTATTAATTTATTGTTATTAAAGAATGTGTTACGTTACGATCGACTCACGTTTGCCGTCATGGTGCGGTAGAGGTTGGGGCGCTGGGGGTAAATGCGGAGGCCCGTGGTGGTAGTGCTCGGGTCCCGGGGCTGGGCCCGGGCCGGGGCCGGGGCCTGGGGCCGGGCCCGCACCCCCGTAGTAGTAGCCGGGCGGGAATCCGCCCCCGTAACCGCCGTAGTATCTGCCTCCGTAGGCTGCGCCGTAACCGCCTGCAGTACAGACAGAAGAATCGTTATATTGTTTTAAACTTTCATGGTCACTAACATTATGGATATTATCGGGATTGTTACCATGTACCTTGTTTTTTATGAGTCTCGACACTGTTACAAGCGCCATGATCTCGGAGTAACTGAAGTAATTGCGGGTAGATGTTATTTGGCAGAAATATCGGTCTATGAATATCGGAGACTCATAAAAAACAAGGTATAATGCGATTCACCTAAGAATAGGACCGACTGGGTGCCATATTGTGACATCATAGCTATCAATTCAAACCAAATAGGTAGAGTGAGAAAAATAAGTTTTATTTAATAAAACTTATTTACTAAGATTATTTATTATTATTTTTTATTTAATAGAATTAAAAAAAAAACTGTGAGAAAAAACATTAATCAGATTCTAGCTCTTCAATTCCGCTCATCTCTGCATTACCGCCGGAGTAGTTAGGAATAATCATGCACTATTACTAGGTCACATACGAGCATGCATCCTTTATGTAAACGAAAGTTTTAAATCGAGTTTCTGAACGCAACTTAAAGTGAAATTTGGTTGACGATTTAGGTTATCAACCAATCATAGGCAAAGCTCTATAAATGAAAAAAAAAATATTAACCAATATTAATTATCAACATTTGTTATTGTTTGTTTACAAATGTTTGGTTTTTATTCTAGAATTAGCGAAGTGCTAAAAAAGGGTTTCAAGATTTTTTTGCAAACCATACTTTTCAAGCGACATTTGACAGATAGAGGTCATTGGCTTTCCTATTCTTATTTGAATCGCACTATACATGGTAACAATCCCGTTAATAGCTATAAAGAAGAATCATTGTTCGAATTAGGTACTTAGGTTCAGACAGCAAATTTGCAGTGTTGATTTAAGTAAAACTAGATTTTACTCTTGTTAAAATGACAATTTGACAGTTTTCTATAGGTTAAGTCTAGTTTTAGTTGAATCGAATTTATTTGCAGTAAACAAATTTACTGCAAGTGGGCCTTCAAGTTGGAAAAGGTTACATGTTTTAAGACCAGTTTCATTAATCGTCTCCGGCTTATATTCGTCTACTTGTTCGTAATAACGAACTAAAACCAACAGTTTGTAATAAGCAACTTACTGCACTAATACCATATACTATACATATAATAAAATGGTAGGAAAGTCAAAACTGTACATTGAATATTGTAGCGAGACCGGCTATATCCGCAACATTAGGGGTTGGAAATTAAAATGAAAAATGAATTCCCAAGACGTATAAAAGAGCAATCACACAGACAGAAAATAAGGAATATATTAGCCGCCTTACCTTATTCCCTCGAACGAATGTCCCTCAGTTCCAAGATACACTAGAAAACACTGCACAGTATTTTTGTGGTATTTCACAGGAGATCGCACACGTAATAATTCACAAAATTATAGCTTTTCTAATCACATATCTAATATACGAAAATTCGTAAGACACCAACCACCGCATTCAACAATTGCAGTGCAGATACGAGCGCATCGCTAGTGCGGTGCGCACACGCAGATCACATACGATGGGCGATATCGATTTTATTCGAATGAGTCCCTAATATACCCACCCAGGTAGACGGCTTGTATGTTTGTGTGCATACTTAACCATTATTTTCTTCCATGAATAATTGCCAAATTAAACGTCTTGGGAATGACAATGTCGAGATGCTAGGTGCAAAGTAAATAGGGATACGATCACGATACATACCGCCCACCAAAATACACGAAAGTTGTATTTTTAAAGAAAATATGTCTAAAAGAAACGTTCGAAGACGAATGAATTAACGATTTACTCGTTGCGTATTAACGGTATGAATAACAACGGAGATGCTGATATGCATGAATACGATTAACATCTAGTTATGATACTAAAATCCTAATATATGAACAACATTGTATAAATTTCGATTATATGAATACACTAACCTAATGAATAGAGAAAATAACGTTTAATTACGATTCTAATCCGTTTGGTCCGGTAATGGACACACTTTCGTTAATGGTCGTATTAGAAATGAACCATTTGGTAAACGCAGCTTTGCGATGCGTACTACTCCATCCGGACTACTGTGCAGCTCTTCGACTCGAGCTATTGGCCAGTGAAGAGGTGGAGTATCGGATTTGATAACAACTACGGAACCGATTTTTAATGGTTTTGAGTGTTTAGTCCATTTCGCCCTTTGTATTAAAGATTGAAGATACTCGTTTTTCCAGCGCTTCCAGAAGTCTTGCTGGAACCGCTGTATAAGTTGCCAACGACCTAAACGCGATAAGTTTATGGAAGTGACGTCCTGATCGGGTACGGCCGTCAGGGGTTCTAATGTTAAAAAATGCCCGGGTGTGAGCACGGACATATCATCGGGAGACGAACTTATACTGTAGAGAGGTCTCGAATTAAGCATAGACTCAATCTGAACGAATAACGTAAATAGTTCATCTAACGTTAGCGATTGATTGTTAACGATACGATATAAAGTAGATTTTACAGCCTTAATCTGTATTTCCCATACGCCACCCCAATTGGGACTAGCTGGGGGGTTGAATTTGAATTCGATGTTGTCAATATGACAAGCATGTTTCATATAAGAATCGAGTTCTCGTTGCGCGCCCACAAAATTAGTACCTCTATCCGAGAAAATAGTTTGAACTCGACCTCGGCGACCAACAAAACGCCTTAATGCTGATGTCATGTCTGTAGCAACTTCCAAATGAAGTGCTTTAGTTGTAAGGCAGACGAAGAGACACAGATAAGCTTTCGTGATCTTCGCGCCTCGATATTTACCAGATTTAATTCTGAAAGGACCTCCGTAGTCCACGCCTACCATGCTAAACGGTTTTACTTGATTTACACGGACAGCAGGCAAATCACTCATAAAGGGTTCGAGAGGAGTCGGATTGCTTTTGAAACATTTAAGACATTTAGAAACACAATGTCGTATTGCACGCTTAGCTGACAAAATCCAGAATTGTTGAGTTATTAAATAATGTAACGTATTGATTCCAGGGTGACAATTTTCACGATGGAGCGCATCTATAATCATATAAGTTAGTTGAGCCTGTCTCGGGAGTAAGGCGGGATGTTTATGGTTGTATTCCAGTCCGGAACGCGACAGTCTACCGCCCACCCTGAGAACACCTAGGCTGTCGATAAAAGGAGAAAGTTTTCTCATTTCTTTAGAAATTAGTTTACCTTCTTCCAGACGTTTAAGATCGTTTGAGAAATAAAGAAACTGAGTACGTTTCACTACTGCCAACAACGCGTTGTGAAGTTCTGTACGATTTAAAGGAAGATCAGAACGACGATTAGTTTTACAACGTAAATTATTGATGTAGCGAAGCCATAAACCTACAATACGTTGGGTTTTACGGATTGAAGAATATCGAGTCATCAAATAGTCGACAGGATGCACTGGAGCACCACTTCCGAGAAGAACCTGAATCTTCTCTTCAGCATGAAGTTCATCCTGGGGAGTATCATAGATCGAACAAGGCCAGGTCTGCATCTCTTGAGAAAGCCAACTGGGCCCCGCCCACCATAACGAATTGTTAACAAGTTCAGCTGGCGTCTGACCACGAGAAGCAATGTCTGCGGAGTTATGTTCCGATTTTACATGGCGCCATTGTGCGCCTGGAATCGCATCCTGAATATGACTGACCCGATTGGCGACAAACGTTTTCCAACGTGAGGATGGTGATCGGATCCATGAAAGCGCTACTGTCGAATCAGACCAGGCATATACAGCTGTAATAGGTAGATGAGGTTGATAAACCTCGTTAACGAATTGAAGCAAATCTGCAAGAAGTGCACAACCACAAAGCTCCAGCCGAGGCAGGGAAACGACCTTGATAGGGGCTACCCTTGCTTTTGATAACACGAAAGAAACTTTGACCTGACCATGCACATCAAGAGCTCGGAGGTACACTACACCTGCATAACCACGTTGAGAACTGTCTGCAAAACCATGAATTTCACATGAAACTATGTCAGACACGGATAAAAAACGAGGAATTTTTAAGTTTTGGATGAGATTCAGCTCGTCAGTGTAGGACTTCCATTGTTTTTGGATATCTTCTGGAGGGAGCTCGTCCCAAGATAGACCGAGAATCCACAGCTTCTGCACCAAAAACTTTGCGAAGAAAGTTATGGGAGAGAGGAAACCACACGGGTCATAGATCCTGGCGAGTTCGCTTAGAATGGTGCGTTTACTGCATACACGAGTCTGTGGCTTGACTTCGAATGTGAAATTATCCAAGCCAGGCTCCCACCTTAAACCTAAGATTTTAAGAGTATCGGATGATTCTTTGTCTAAAGATACAGAATCTGTTAGACAGTGTTCTGGAGGAAGGTCAGCGAGCAAACTGGGTTCATTACTGGCCCACTTTCTTAGCTCCATATGACCACGTTTGAGGAGCTCTGTCACTTCTAACTTGGTTTGGATAGCCTGATCAAGACTAGAACAGCTAGTAGCGACGTCATCTATATACACATCAGTCCGTAAAACAGCTTGACCGAGTGGGAGGTCATTGCCTTCATCATCAGCCAGTTGCCTGATAGTGCGACAAGCTTGATAAGGAGATGACGAAACACCATACGTGACGGTGTTCAATCTATATTCTGAAATTGGCTCAGAGGGATGGTATCTCCAAAAGATTCTTTGAAAGTCACGATGGTCTTCACGTATGAGTATTTGACGATACATCTTGCACACATCGGCTGTAAATACGACACGGTGAACGCGAAATTTAAGAAGAATTTCCAAAATGTTAGCTTGTAACTTTGGACCAACTAATAACGTGTCATTCAACGATTGTTTTGTGATGGCGTCACGACTTGACGCATCAAAAACGACGCGAAGCTTTGTAGTACTGCTGTCAGGTCGCAGAACACAAAAATGAGGAATGTAATACTTTCCTTTTTGTATATCTCTTGTGGACACATAAGTCATGTGACCACATTGAAGATATTCGGCCATAAAATTCGAATATTGTTCCTTTAGAACTGGATCTAAGGAAAGCTTACGTTCTAACGAATAGAAACGCCTAAGAGCTAGATCTCGCGAACCTGGGAAAGACGGTTCTTTGTCCTCACAAAAGGGCAAAACGACACTATAGCGTCCCGTTGCATCACGAGTAGTTGTGTTACGGTAAATTTGTTCACAACGTTCATCTGCCGCGCTCAACCTTTTGACACACGGAAGATTATCTAGTTCCCAGAACTTCTTGACTTCCTGAAACAGCTGATCATCTGTGACGAATAACGAAGTGGTTTTGTATCTGTCTTTACTATCTTCAGCACTTCCTATAAGAAGCCAACCAAACACAGAGTTTAAGGCCGAAGGTTGGTTCGATTCCCCGGTGACACTTCCGGGAAGAACGAGAGATGGAAAGATTTGAGCTCCTAAAAGGATATCTACCGGACCCGGTTTGTCACAGTCTGGATCAGCAAGGTTAAGACCACGAATGTGAAGCCAAGATGATTTATCGAGTCTTACGCTAGGCATATTTCCGCAAATGTTAGGTATAGTCAGCGCTTCTATATTGAAAGCCACTTGACCATTTAACCCTATTTGAAGTTGAACAGCTCCAGAGATGGAAGCTGACGATTGACCTACACCCCTAACCTGGCGTGTAGTCACACGTTTGTCAAGTCCAAGTCGCTCTACTGCACGCTCTGAAATGAAATGGGCTTGACTACCAGTATCGATTATGCAGCGAAATGGCTGGTAGGAACCCGACGAATCACGAATATATATAACGGCAGTAGATAGAAGAACAACCGATGAATCGCCTATACTTGTCAATACACGAGTAGGTTCACTCACAGAGGGTTTATGTTCAGAAGAATCCACATCACTCTCCTGGTGAAGAAGAGTATGATGCTTTTGATGACATTTCTGGCATCTGAAAATGGATTTACAATCGCGCACGACATGTGAAGGCCGCAAACAATTAAAACACCAGCGATTGTTTTTCGCAAAATCGCGTCTTTCCTGAATAGATTTACCAGAAAATATCTTGCAATGTGAAATCGAATGAGTTTCAGAACACGCAGGGCACTTAGAGGCCACTCCAGGGACAGTAGTCGAAGAAACAGACGATTTACTGACTTCTATCCGGTTTGTTGTCTTCTCTGAATTGGATAATAATGAAGAAGTAATTTTCTTGTTATTATGATTAGACTTGACAGAATTTTTAATAGATCTACTAGAACTACTAGTAGACGGTTGATCACGATTAGTCGAGAAATGGGTGTCCCGGACGAGTGCGTCACATTGACTTTCTAAAAATCCTTTTAGCACAGAATAAACGGGTAACTCTGACGTCGGATGAGCTTTTTCAAAGGCGCAGCGAGTTTTCGAATCTAATTTCGAAAGCAAGTGATAACATAGGATAAAGTCCCAATGTTCCGTTGGTAGCTTAAGACTTTTTAGAATTACTAAGTTTTCGTTAAAAAGGTCCAAAATGCGTCTAAATTCAGTTGGTGAGTTAACTTTTAAATTTATGTTTTGTATTTCTCGCCAGCACGTAAAGGCGAGTTCACGATTATCACGATAACGAGTTACTAAAGTATTATACGCTTCCTGATAGTATTGACCTTGACTCGGAAAAGTTCGAATAAGTCCCAAAGCATCACCAAATAAACTTGCTCTAAGGTATTGCATTTTATCTGAGTCCGATAGTGATTGATTAAAATGAATGAGAGAATTAAATGCATCAAAGAACATATTGAAATCCTTAATACATCCTGAAAAACGCGGCAAATCAATTTTCGGAAGTCTTATCGCTGAAGCAGGTGGAGCACTCGGCACAGAGGGCGCTATAGTAGAAGGCGCAAGCTTCCGATGCAAAACAAGTATTTTAAAATTAATGTCGTCAAAATCAGAACGAATTTCATCCTCTGCCTCCATATCACAATCTTCCACGATGCTTAAAATATCTAAATGTGCTTCTTCAAAATTATTCGCTAACTTTTGCATTGAAGAATAATGTACGATAAATTCGTCTAAACGAGAAGCATCTAACTCCGCTGCTAAAGCAATTTCCAAAATTTTGCGCAATCGATTTAATGCTAATGTTCTTTTACGACGCAAAACAGGCAAGTCCGCGTACGTAAAACCAACAGGTTCAACTGATTTAGATTTGCTCAATCTTTTACCACGTTTGACATTAAATGCCATGTTTGTATCAATATATGAATGGAAATTAATCGAATAGAAAAATAATCGGAATGAAAATAATCGGTTTGGAAAAATCGATTTCTATCTCGAAATGTTATGTCCCTACTATTCGGACGAGCCAGATTTTTATTATAAGTCTACCCTCGAGTTGAATGATAAAAATTGCACTGAGCTAAAAATAGATTTAAGGAATTTGTTATTACGTAATGTTTACAATTTACAGTTTGAAACTTTTACAAATAAATTTATTTTTATTTGTTACGTATGGATACAAATTGATATGTGAATATGAATGTGATTAGAATTTCCGTTATGATAGATTTGTATTTACGAATACGAATGGATTTAACAAAGTATTTACTATACTACACATTAGCACACGTACTGAATATGTACGAATAATTTACGTGAACTAAAGGCGTACGGAGCAACAAATGTTCAGAATGAATTTAAATACAAATCATCGAATTGTTAAGTTTATGAAAACTATGGTTATGAATTGGCAAGATGAAGTAATAAGCAAACAAAAAAAAAAATATTTTCTTACGAATATGGCTGATACGTAAATGTACGTTCACGGATGAGAATGGAATGTTTGTTACTTTCTTCACCAAAATGCGATCTCGAGCATAAATAAGGATAAAGTAACAAGCAGTATATTGTTTTCTAACGTGTTGTTCATATATTTCGGAGAAATATTCATTATCTAACGTGATTTGAAGCGATAAATAACGGTCTCGATACACGGTCGGCCATTGAACAAAAGACGAAAGACAAATGTATATTTCTTACGATTAACTACTTATGAGAGTAGTCCCGGGTTTCGGCACCAGAACAATGTAGCGAGACCGGCTATATCCGCAACATTAGGGGTTGGAAATTAAAATGAAAAATGAATTCCCAAGACGTATAAAAGAGCAATCACACAGACAGAAAATAAGGAATATATTAGCCGCCTTACCTTATTCCCTCGAACGAATGTCCCTCAGTTCCAAGATACACTAGAAAACACTGCACAGTATTTTTGTGGTATTTCACAGGAGATCGCACACGTAATAATTCACAAAATTATAGCTTTTCTAATCACATATCTAATATACGAAAATTCGTAAGACACCAACCACCGCATTCAACAATTGCAGTGCAGATACGAGCGCATCGCTAGTGCGGTGCGCACACGCAGATCACATACGATGGGCGATATCGATTTTATTCGAATGAGTCCCTAATATACCCACCCAGGTAGACGGCTTGTATGTTTGTGTGCATACTTAACCATTATTTTCTTCCATGAATAATTGCCAAATTAAACGTCTTGGGAATGAAAATGTCGAGATGCTAGGTGCAAAGTAAATAGGGATACGATCACGATACAAATATTTTTTTAAAAGAATACTTGGGGTGTGATCTACAATCGATACCGAAGCCAAAAATATAGTTTTTAGAATTTTTGTCTGTATGTATGTCTGGAACAAACTCAAAACCCCTTATTAATAAACCGCGGAATAAGCTTTGACTAGTTACACTGTGTTTTGTTCCTATCACTCAAATGCCATTTGTCATTCAATGAACAGAGACAAAACATGGAGTAACAAATCCAAGCTTATTCTAAGTTTATTAATAAGGGGGAAAAAGTACTGCATGGATTTACTTCAAATAGGCACGAATATGATGAAGAACGCGGGTCAACATAAGGCTACATATTTTCACGAAACTCCACCCCTAAGGGGGTAATACGGAGGTTGGAAGTTTGTATGAAAGTCCTATGTTTTTGAAGTAAGAGACTTGAAATCAAACATGTATGCTCTATATATGGTGTAGAGATGTACTAATAATGTATCTTTAGAAATAAACCCCCTTTTGTGGTCAAAAAGTATGTGCAAATAACTAACTCCACGCGTACGAAGGCGCGGGCGGTCGCTAGTACCATATATAAAGTATTATGATATTAGTGCGGTAATACGACCCTGCTTATTTCATCTGGCCCAAGGGCTAGCTGAAATGAGCAGGGAGGAGTCCCACATGCCTTCTTCTCGCTCCCCCGATATAATCAAATTTCATAGGTCGATCAGAGCTTTGCTGCTTAGATATTTTAATTTATATTATATTAACAACTCTTGCTAAGGAATGGAACCAGATTTACTATCTAAAAGAAAGGTTATTTGGTATGTGCTTTTTTCAGCTAGATTTCTCTATGGAAGATCTGTAAAACCAAAACTAAGTTCGAAATTATCTAAGACTTTATGAACAAAAAAAAAATGTTTATTCCCAAAATTAGCTCGAAGGACCATTTTGTTTATGTGTAGTTTTAAGAGCAGGGTTTTATCCAGGGACACTTGTTTTCAATTTCTGGACAAAATTGACTCGTCCTACATAGTATCACAGGGAAGAAATGGATCATGTTCATTAAAAGTTGTTATTTTAGTTCAATAATCTTTGAATACTTTACCTGGTGGCGGAGGCGGTCCAGCATGCGGAGGTCCAGGGTGTGCTGGAGGAGCATTAGGATTCGGTGGCATCATCATCGCTGTAACAACCATTGTTTATTAAAAAATGTAGGGTTTTTTTTAATGTGTAACATCTTTAAACGAGCGAGCCTTACAGTAGTCGCGTATGATGTGTAACATTTGAAACCTCATTAGTAAAGAAAGAAATAAAACCTACTACAAAAGGAAAGAGCCATTTGAACATTATGTTCTAAAGTCAAATCAAATAGCGCGCATGTTCGCGAATTCCTTTTACACACTTCCGTCCCATTTCACGAAATCACTCCCACAAATTGCAGGAAAGCGAGAGGAAAGGTGTTACACATCAAAAAAAGGAATACTGGGTCCATCTCTTTATATCGGTGACTGCGTAGCTGCGCTTAGTCACAGGAGTTCTATTTTTTTCGGGGAAACCAGCAAACTCTTGTCTTGACCTCATCTGAAGTTTAAGCATTGTGTGACAAAAAACGTAACACATTTTGTAACAGCAATTTTCGTGATCGGTAACTTTACGTATGTCTTCGTCATGTATAATTAATATGTAAATAATCTTTGTACGCATTTGTTGAAATTTTAAAATAGGTACAGATTTACCTAATTTATGTATGTGCATGTAGAGTTGGCCTTTAATTGGTTAGCTCATTTAACATTATATTCAGTTTTACACAAGTTTCATTGTATGTTTCAATGTAGCAACCGTTGGCTGACCTAAATGTATATAAAAAAAAATGCAATTAACTGTCTAGCAGTTAGCAGTTTAGGACCTTTTACTAAAAAAAAATAAATATAATTCCTTTTTTCTACTTTCAATACGTATGTTTTATACTTGAAAAACGTATTAATTTGACATTGTGGGTTACCTACGATGCGAAGAGATGGCGCTGCCTTGCAGCCTAAGAAATACTAACAAAAAATTCGACACGGCCATTAGGGCCGCGGTAGTATAATGGTCAGTGGTTCGAGAAGTAATGTTTATACTAACGATGATGGGGCGGCGAGGCCACGTGTTGCACGGGCTGGTGCGGTGCCGGGGGCTCTTTGTTCTCCACTTTCTCTATTCGACTCTCTTCCTTGCGTTCTCCTACTGAAACAATATAAGACCTTATTGCTTACAATACACGACATGAAGTTACACTAACAAATACAAAGAAAGAAGTTCGAATGAGCTCTATATTGACGATTCCGTGGCCGAATGGTTTGTACGCCGGGTTTCAAGGTGTCGCCTACTCGCGAGGTCCTGGGTTAGAATCCCGATGGGAGCAGATGTTTGTGTGTTGAATACGAGCATTTGTACTCCAGTCATGGATGTTTAATATGTATTTCTATATTAATATACTTGTGTAATGTATCAGTATTTTATCCATTACTCTAGTATCCCATAACACAAGCCTACAGTGCATACTTTGGGGCTAGGCTAAATGGTGTGAGTGTTGGAAATATTTCTTTTATTTAATTACGATTTATTTTTGAGTCGTGTCCAGTATTAACTTTATTTTTGCAATAGGGTATTTGACAGTATTAAAAATAAAGTGCCAATTATTAGCATCTGTGTTTAGAATGAACATTTGCAGGGATTTTCACTATTTTTACAGAAAAAATATTCATAATTTTACTAAAACCCACGAAAAAGATAACAGTTTTCTTATCTATTGTCACGTGACCCAAAAAGCTTGACGTCAAGCGCAAGAAAAGACGTCACGCGCAAGTAAACTTCCGGTTAAAATGACATTACATTGTATCGTTTGACGTTTTAATAACAGTCGTGTGACGTCACACACCAGTGAGACGCCATATTGTCCAGAGAAACATTTTCGAGGCAACTTGAAAATGGAGTTTTTGATTTGGTTATTTTAACTGTAATTCACAACAGAATGATGAACATCTACTTTTTACGGACTCCATAAACATTAGTAAATAACGTGAGATAGTTTTCTAAAAATTGTCAAATACCCTATTGTTTGCAGTGTCCTACAGATAAATGACTTTTATTATACCTAATATTGAATGATTAATACCTAATAGAACAGTTTGTATTTATACTGTATGACACGGCAATTAAAATGTGAGTGAAAGTTGTATTGATGAACATGATTTTTTTTGTAAATGTTGCTACTTTTGTTAAATGCTGATGAGTTTTTTTGCGCCAATTCTTCTCATCAGCTAAAAGATGTCCTGAAGGTAGTAAAAATATTGGACTGAAAGAGCTTTCGATAAGTCAATTTGAATAAAGTTTAATTTCATTTCATTTCAACTGATACCATACTGACTCATCATTAGTTATGGATCTTTGTGTGTGACAGTTCAGGGAGGGCGTCACTGTCTACGTAAATGCATTGAGGTATAAGAATAGAGTAGGGGAGATATACTCTACTACAAGTGGAAGTGTCCCTCTAATAGAAAGAGAAAGAAGATGAGAGACCGCTATTTTTCTCTCTTTAAATGCGCATGCGCATTGGCAAACGTAAGCATCTTACTATTTTGATGTGATGCTTGGACCAACTATTGGACAGACGACTGCGGATGCGTCACATGAAAGAGATAGCTAGCGGTCTCTCATCTTCTTTCTCTTTACACTAGACGGACAGTTTTAGAGCCGCTTTCCCCACTCTATTCTTAAACCTCTTCATAGAGGTTTAAGTTTACTCATGTAAATGACATACAAAATATGACGTTTACAAAGACTGCGTCGTTAGTTCCAATTTTCGCCGCATTCATGAAGATCCTTGTAGCACCATACCTTCATCATTGTTATCGGCTTCCTTCTTCAAGTCTTCAGTCTTGTTCAGCTCGGTGGTGGTGACGCTGCCGGCTTCAGGCTTCACGTCCGTGGTGGAAACCTTATCGACTTGCGTGGGCGGATTCGGTCCGTTCGCCTCGCTTTTTATCTGATTCTGTTCAGTGTCCATTGGCTGTGTGGGAAACAAAATGTTCATATATCATCTTAGGGCTTAACAGCTTATGAACATGAAAATAACAGAGAAAGTAACGTATTTTCTCTTTAAAAAGTTTTGTTAAACCTTTGATTAATCATTCATATAATTTCATTATAGATATAAATTAAATTATTCACACGAGATTGTATTGATATTAAGTAGGAAGGCGCCGGTCTCTGCAATACAGTTTTTTTAAACTAGTGCAGATATCAACGCTCCAACTTTATGCCTATTGTAATAACTTACAACACTGCTAAAATAACGTGTAAACTAAATGTCTAACAATTTAAAAGGAATAAACGTTTATTATTATTAACCGAGCAAAATAAAATAAGTCAAATTTATCAGTCAATATCCTGTAGGGAAATTTTCTTCTTGATATTATGTTTTTTTGCTTGCATTTATTACAGTTAAGCATGCCCTCTTGGCGTCAGAGGTAAGCGCCATAATATTATTGTAGACAAATGTAAGCCAAATAAAAATAATGCTTTGTGTGCAAAAAATATTTAAAACTATACTTATGAAATACGACTTTAAAAGTAGAGGGGAAGGGGTGGGGGGTCTTGTATATACTACAACTGGTCACCGAGGGGTGTAGTGGGTGTGGTGATGGGGTGTGGGTGACTCACGAGAGAAATCACGACGAGTGTTCAATGTGATATCAACATTTTATTAACTTAACCTACATCTTATATACTACTTATAATACGTTAACGACGTGCTTAGGGCTTAGATACCTAATCGTATCGGGGATGATTATCATCACGTAGAACACGTGATTTACACTTCAGCACACCTCCCCTGAAACGTTAGGCGTCCCTCCCCTGAAAAGGAAGACCCTAAACAATTTTCTTCTACGTAATAACATATGTAACTCGATTAATAACATATTATACATAACAACATGTTAAAAATCCTTTATAAGAGATTCACTAATCTCATATAAACTTAAATTATTTAATTTACTTTATTAAAAATTACCTAAAATTTTATACAAACAAATTATTATCAAAATTAAATCCTTACTATAATTACTTAACAATTATTTACGTTGATTTTTAACCAAAAAAACATTAAATATTAGAATTTAATTTTTTTATTAATCTATTCCAACATCACCACGTTGGTTGTATTTCTTCCTTAATAGCATATCTTGAAAACAATTATTTATTTTGCTAATAAAGTCTTTCTTATTATGCTTATTTGTATAATAAATATTAGATAAAATACTGTCATTGCTTGAGCTTTCAGGCTCATTCGTATTATATTTATTAACAATCTCCTTTAAGGCAATTTTGCCATTTTTATCTTTCGAACCACTTTTTACAATTAATATGGGTAATACAACGTTATATTTCTCCCTTAAGTTATTAAAACTTTTAACCCATTTTTCATTAATTATCAAACCTTTTATCTGTAAATGCTTACAAAGCAATTCAACATCTTTCGCTAGTCTTTTCTCTTCTAGGAATGACACAGACTTTATATAAATTTCACATTTTAAAGGTGCATAAACACATAAATTATATTTAGAATGCACACACTTCTTGTTGTCTATTTTTTCATTTAAATAATCCTTGACAATTACGTTAACATAAGAACTAGCTTTTACATAATCTGCTTTAATTGCAGGGAACTCTTTCTTAGAGTTATCATTAGACATTGTGATCTCGTCAATTGCGAACATATTTTCCTTCCGTGTTTTATAAGAAGCTTTTCGCTTTTCCTTACATTGGTTAGACTTAATTAAGTTACCATTGCTTTTACTTAGCAAATTATTTGGACGCGATTGATCTTTTTCTAAAAAAAAATCGTCTAACTTTAAATCATAACACTCGTCATTAAAACTATTTATATAATTCATTACCTCAGTATTACAAGTCTCTTTAAAACAGCACACCTCATCGATTTGAGCACGATTTTGCTTATCTAGCGCTTTGCGCGTTTGAACTTGACCGTAGCGCGGAATGCGAGATTCCAACGTATTGCGAACATTCTTTTTACTTGCTACGCTGTAATTTTTAAAATAATAATTTCTTACTCTCGGTCTGTCACTTAACCTTGAATTATAGTAATTACATTGCTGAATCATATTTACCTCTCTATTCGAGGATGTAATATATTCCTCGAGAGCTATTTGAATAGCATCTTTTAATAACGTGGGCTGCCTACACTTTATAATTAAACTTATTCAACTACTATTTAACCCTTCAACAAAACATCTTATTGCAAATGCCTCATTTAACGGAAGCAAAATTTTAATCTTTTCCTGATCATTTTCCAATTGAGCAATAGTTAATTCAGATAACAGTTTATTGATCTCTAAACCAAATTGTTCTATAGACCTACTTCCTTGTTTGCACTTAGATAATTTAAATTGAATCAATGATGGACACTTTTTCGGTAATAAATAATGTTTTATGTCACTAATTAAATGATTAATACTATCATAAGAAGATTCTAAATAAAATTTTGCTGTTTCTGAGAGTCTAGTTTTTAAAACAAAATTAATTAAAGTATTTTGCGAGTTATTATCAATAACGCTACTGTAAAATTCTATATTATTAATTAGACATTGTGTGTTATGCTCTTCTCCCGTCATTCTAGGTAAGAAGGCTAGTGCGGTCTCTAAATCAAAACCTGTCATTTTTAAAAATAATATCTTAAAACTTTAAATTGCGAAAATTCCTTAATAAATAATAAATGAAAAGTCTACCGGTACAAAACTAATATAAAGAAATGAGATGAATTAACTGTTAAGCTGCATTTTATGATCTTAATACTTATTTATTTAAACAAACAAAAATAATGTCGGGAAATATTTACTTATTGTTGCTTAAACTTACTTGACATTAAATGTAGCTTCATGATTTCCTTCTTTATAACGTAGTCGTCTTCATGCTCTTTTCAATATTATAATTGTCATCTTCAAGGTATCTTCATAAATACGTGAAACCGAGGAACCGAGTGCGTAGGTAATTTGTTTGCAGTTTTCCGTGATTCAATAATCATCTTCAATTTTGCGAACCCTTCTGGGTCTTTGCGCTCAGAAGTATGCTGCCATGGTCGATTGAAATTTTTAAAAACTCACATAATGGACCCCGTCCGATGCAGCACGATCTTCTACGTCACGGTCGCCATGTGGTGATGGGGTGTGGGTGACTCACGAGAGAAATCACGACGAGTGTTCAATGTGATATCAACATTTTATTAACTTAACCTACATCTTATATACTACTTATAATACGTTAACGACGTGCTTAGGGCTTAGATACCTAATCGTATCGGGGATGATTATCATCACGTAGAACACGTGATTTACACTTCACCACAGGGGTAATAAATAAAAGTGGGTCACATAGTATGGTTATATGCTCTAATGTAAATGACTTGAGTATGCTGTGGTAACGAATGCAGATGCAGCCGGGACCAACGGCTTAACGTGCCTTCCGAAGCACGGAGAAACTCGAGATAGAAGACCCTTCACCCTTCCATTGACCGACCACTGCGAAAGTTGCTTAACTTCAACAATCGCAGCCGAACGCGCTAACCACATGCGCCACCGAGCTCTTAAGAAGTTTTCCGGAGCGTATAACTAACCTCATCTTTCCTCTCAGCGACGTTGAGCGACAGTGGCTGGGTAGCAGGGTTGATGCCCCGTTTCATCTGTTCCAGAGCTCTTTCAACCATACGCGAGAATGTTTCGTCGTCCACGGCCGGTTTGCAATGCTAAATACGTAGAGAGAAATTTATTATTTTACCATAAATATAAATAAATATTTCCAACACTCACACTAATTAGTCTAGCCCCAAAGTAAGCACTGTAAGGCTTGTGTTATGGGATACTAGGGTAACGGAAAGAATACATAAAAGTATCTTTATATAGAAATACATATAAACATCCATGACGGGAGTACAAATGTTCGACAAATTGTTCATTTGTCATTTTTTTTGCATCTAAATATATTAAAAGAAGAAGCTGAGTGACTGATAATGAAAGTACAGCCCAAACCGCTGGGTCTAGACTCTAGAGACTCATTTGGCACGTAGGTTCCTCATGAGGTCTAGGGGTCTCTAATAAAGAATTATTCAAAATTCACCACCAGTGTTTAAAATAGGGGATGAAAGTTTGTATGAAAGATCCGTATTCTTTGAGTTAAAAGACTTAAAACTTGGTACAAATACTTATCTAAGTATTATTCTGCAATAAATTATAAAGTTTGCCATTTTTGGTTTGCCCAAACTACCACTTAAGGGAAAGTTGGAGAGTGTCAAGTTTTTATATGGATAAATTTTAACGCGCATTACGATGAACTCCTAAAATCAATATTTATACTTGACTGAAATAAAGAATAACACGTATCCGGGTTCTTTGAAACTGTATCTCTAACGGGATGAAAAGAGATAGTTAATTTTACTGTGGGGCTTGATTAGAAAACGGTTTAACGAATTTTTATGAATTTGGCACAAATATAGTTTAATTTTTTGGATTGAGACAAAGGATAATTTTAATCCCAAAAAAAAAGTTAAGGTTCCTGAGGGATTCTCAAAAACTAAAGTTATCGTGGACGAAGTCGCGGGCGGCCGCTAGTAATTCATAAATGAGGATCCGTAAGATTTAAGTTGGGAATGCAGATTTATAGAGCTCCTTAGCTCTAAATTCTTATGATTGGTTTCGTATTTAGTTTGTTTTTGTTCTACGTCAAATATTGACGAAATTATGACAGTGACGTCACACGATTCGGTCGCCGGTGAATATTGGCTACCATAAAATTAGTTATAAAATCGCAATGAATGAACCGATTTTGATGATTAAAATGTATATTAATTAAAAAGCTTATTAGATCATTAAACTGTTGATTTTGATTTGATTTGCTGACCTAGTAATGATCCTCATTTCTAGATTCAAACTAATATTTCTAATGTCACATAGGATTTAAATTTTGCAAATACAGAAGTATCAATATTGTAAATACTATTTAAAGGAGATTGCTCAAATTGGCCCAATGCACAAAAAATATTGACATATACGGTAATTCTTGGCGTAATTTATAATTTAATTGACAGTCATTAGATTTCAACGGACACCTTTGTATAATATATTTACTTTAAAAAGGACTTAATTTTACCTGTTTGGAAAACATACGAATCATTTTTAATGGCTATGGGTGTAGTAACATTCAGCAAAAGACTGATCGAATTTGTTATATAACATGAAAAGAAATCTATTTTGTAAAGATCGATAAAATAAATATTTTTTTTTTATTACACTGTGGTATTAATATCCACAACTATATTATCATTTTCACTAGATGCAAATTGTGCTCAATTAATATAGATGGTAAAGTAATAAAGTCTATTGCCATACATTTTTCGCCAAACACCTCCATAAACACATTATAATCTGTATATATGTTAGACTTTAAGGTATCTATCTATGGGCCTACGTTCCCTGACTATAAATTAATAAATAAATAAAATTATAAGGTGTGATACACTAAAAATCTATAATATGGTTATCTTAAAAACATAACAAAAATAATGAAGCTACTGAATATATGGCTATAGAACCCAAATCTCTTAGCTTTCTTTGGTTAACGAGAGTTTAAAAATTCTCTCTAATCTGTGGCTCATTCACAATCATCACACAGTTTCTGTCACAGAGTACCTTATTATAACCGGAAATGCATAAATGATACCTGATTTTAAAAGTTACTCTTATGCATTAACTTTAAAAACAGGCAACTATCTGTTAATCTACATGCTCTATATACCTGAATCTAATCCATAATTTCGGTACTTGGCTTGATTTCCCTAGTTTACTATATAACTTGTTTGTTTTTTATTATTTTAATACGTTCAGTGTATATGGTTTATAGAAGTTCTCAGGGGTGTCCGCTAATAATATTCGTTTTTACAGTAATTTATATATAATTTCGAATCTAGGAAACAATTTTTCATGATTATTGGTCTTTAAGCCAAACATGTATGGAAGCTGAGCAAAATCTCCTTTATTGTTATTACCTTCTTAAGTTCCTCTTGGAATGTCTCGCTGCTTTCGATGAACTTGCGCTTCTTAGCTTCAAACTTCTCCTCTATTTGTTGAAGTTCGTCCTCCAGCTTCTTCTGGTGCATCGTCAGTGATTGCACTTGTTTCTTTAGGATCTGTTACGAGAAAGAACGTAAAATTAAATATATTGTTTGTGTGATGAACAGCAATATTTATTCTCGAGTCATGGTTTTTTAAGTACCTATATAATATTAGCTTAGCTCAGAACTACCAAATATACGCAAAAAAAAAAAAATTGGTGAAGCCGTTGCAAAGGAGTTTTATTCCAATTAATATTAAAAAAAGCAACTCTGACGCACAGGCCGTGGGAACAGTCACATCCGATGACGCCTGGCTTTGCCCGCCGTCAACCGTCATATCCATTGGGAGTAGGGTTACCATACGTCCGGACATGTCCGGATATTAAGACTATAGTCCGGTCTTTGTATGGATCTTTAAATTGTCCGGATTTTTTAAATTATATTGAATATGAATAATAAAAGTACATATTGATTTACTTACTAATAATACCATACCATTGTAATTAAGCAGGAATGGTGCCATTTTGTGACTAAAAAGTCCAGACCTTTTCCGAAATGTCAGGATTTTTGAAATTCCTAAATGGTAACCCTAATTGGGAGTCGGTAAATATCAAAGGCGCCTGGCGGGAAGTTAGGTCATTTTGTTAATTGACATTTTTCGCGTTAAAACGCCAGAACTAATTCTAAAAAGTATCAGGAACTATAGAACTCAGCTGCGTGCGAAAAGGCCTCACATTTATTTTCGATCAGCTGCAAAATGATATGCTACCGGAAGTTAGAAGACCATTTTTTTAATTGTCATTTTTCGCGTAAAAATGCCAGGACTATTTCTAAAAAGTATCAGGAACTATAGAACTCACATTTAATTTTGTTCTGCTGGGAACTAAGTTCACGCACATGATTGGTAGGTGCTTATGATTGCAGATGCAGCCGGGACTAACGGCTTAGCGTGACTTCCGAAGCCGTACTTCGAAATACCAAATTTTGGTCACTCATGTAATGATAGACCACTACATTAGATTGCATGTTTTAGAGTGATCCGGTTACCTGCATCCGTGCAGTGGTGATGACGGACCGGACGTCCGGCACTACGGTATCGGAGAATATCTCGTTGATGAGTCGGTGGTTGCTAAAGTAGCGTGGGTAATTGGGCTGAGAATAAATATTGTTTCGAGTTATTATAATTAAATCGTCTGTCCGGTGATCCGGTTACCTGCATCCGTGCCGTGGTGACGACGGATCGGACGTCCGGCACTACGGTATCGGAGAATATCTCGTTGATGAGCCGGTGGTTGCGTAAGTAGCGTGCATATGCCACATGTTTTACGGATAGGCCTTCGTCTTGATCTATAAGGGACATTAGATAGATATTGTATGTGAAAAAGGTGGAAAGAGAATATTTGTAATCAGCCTACCAATGCTGCCCCTACCGGGGCATAAACATTCTCTATGGATAGAATAGGAGAATGGGCTATGAAAATTAAACTTTTTGGTTTTAGTCCAAACAAATACAGACTGCCTTATTAAAAATCGTAAACTAAAGTTAAACCTGGACTAAAACTTGAGATGTCAGTTTTCTTTGCTATAAAGAAGACAAAGACAACATTAGGTTTAAACGACAAACTGACGACCTCCGTGGCCGAGTGGTTTGTACGCCGGGTTTCATGGTGACGCCGACTCGGGAGGTCCCGGGTTCGCATCCCGGTGGAAGCAGATGTTTGTGTGATGAATTGAGCATTTGTACTCCAGACATGGATGTTTAATATGTATTTCTACATAAATATACTTATATATGTATAGTATATGTATTCTATCCGTTACCCTAGTATCCCATAACACAAGCCTTACAGTGCTTACTTTGGGGCTAGGCTAATTGGTGTATAAAAAAAACCAAGACTAACTATAGTCCGCGTTTTGGAATAAGGTGGTAATAGTCAAATATTAAATATAGTACTGTGTTATCAATGCGAATCGTACATTTAAAATTTTTGTAACATAAAAAATGTTATTAACTGCACATCAAATTAAAACAAACTTTCGAATGATTGTGCATCTTATTTCCAGCAAGTTAAAGCTTTAAGTAAATCGGAGAATTAAGAAAGTTTTAGATTACTTGACCTGTAGTTGATCGGTAAATAGTTTTGGTGTTCCACCTTCTTAGAATGATAAATGAGAGAATTTTAGATATATATTATTTGATTAATCTATATTACCTTCTTCGTCTTCAGCGGGTTGTATATCAATCCTTCTGTCTTGCTGTTGCTGCTCCTTCTGTGAGCTTCCCTTCTTGCCAGAGCTTTCCTCTTCCAAGTTGCCTACTGCTGACCAGGTCCGTTAATATCACGTAAAAAATAAAGCAAACAAATTACAAGTATGTAATTTGAAAAATTCAGTAAAACAATTTATATACAGACACAAGTTTAAAACAAGTGCCAGCCAGTTGCAAAAATGCAGTTTGGATGCAGTTTACTGCTGACGTATTAGGCCTGTCGTAAATCTATTGTGCAATCATTGGAACAAGAAAGTTGCAGTTATATCAACCACAAAAACGCCTGCATTCAAACTGTAATCTTATGTTATTGTTTAACGGCTAGTTTCAATAATGAAACACGTAACAGATAGGCTTATTAGAACTTGTTTTCTTAGATATTGTTACGTGTAGGTATGGGATTCGAAATTATATGCCAGTTCATGCTTGACAGTTCTTTATTTGACTCTTAAACAAACAATACTACACTCACTGTACACTATAGTCTTTAAACAATCGTGCTTGAATCCCAAAATCGCTGTTGAAACTCAACTTTTATTGCTTTGAAACTACAGTCCACTGCGCGGCGCCGGACGCCCTTATATACGTCAATCGACCCATAAAATTCGAGTTGATTCGGGAGTTAACTAGAACACGTACCTACCCATACGTAGGTAACGCGCATAAGTTGTAAACAAGTGCAGATGTCGTCGCACTTTCTCCCTTACGCTGCATTGCATAAGGCTCATATTAGAACGAACCGCACCATTCGGCCTCAAGCCGCGGCGCTCTGGTTAAATGTGTTTCCAGTATGTTCGCGGTTTTGGTTCGAGAGGGTTTGTGACAATATTTTCATTATTTAGACTAGAATAACAGCTGTTGCAAATAAATGTAACCAAAACAAGCTTTTTATCGAGATTCATTGTTAAAACTGGCCGTTAATGCACATACAAATAAATAAAAACTTCTTTACAACCAGATATGAATATTTGGTGGTTATGCGTGTATGTAGTGTTATATTTTTCAATCACCTATTTTTTATAGCAAAAATGGGTCACATCACATCTAAAGCTTTATGTCCACGGCAGCACAGATTAGGAGCGTCATTTGACGAATGGATGTATCGTGACGTAAATGTCGACAAGCGTGTATTTGGAATTCTAATTGTGTCCACGTATAGTCATAATTGTTCTTCAAACGACGCCAAAATATGTCTTTTTATTAGGAAGATTACAAGACGTGTTTGGAAATAGACACCATCTATCATCAAAATGGATATGGATGGAGATCCATGCAAGAGTTTTTAGGAGATGTCACTGTTTCAATCGTCATCGGCTTTTTTACCATCTGCTATTCGATGATACGGGGCGAGTTTACAAGCTACTAGCGAACTCGCTGGTTTGTAGCTTGTAAACTCGCCCTGTGTCATCGAGGCTTAAGTGAGCTTTTACAAAATGCATGTCGATAAGCAGGCGTGACGTTGGCGCAAAGTGGACACACTTTCGCTTGTTTCCTTCTGATCAAGATGCAAGCATTCGCCAAATTTTAAATACGTGTGAGTATAAAGGCGGAAATATATTTACTTTTTTGTCGTGTTGTATCGTGCCTCGTGACTAGTCAGAGGTATCTGTTTCATACATTTAGACGCGATAATAAATAGATCAACTAGTTAGAATTTGTGTGTCTCGATGTGTCGACACTGAACTCATTCTAACCGTAGTAAACATGAAACCGATAGCTTTCTGATACGTCACGACACAACACGACAGATAAATATATTTCCGGCTTGAGGGGCGGTTTAGGTGGATAGCAAGCCTAAGTTTAAAAGTATTAATTTTAAAACAATACGACTTTAACGAGTATAAAGCGCAATTTATTTTATTTATTGACGTTTAATAGAGCTTATAAGTAATGGAGCTTGTAAAAGACCCATAAAGTCAATAGGAGAAAAAAACTAATAAATCGCGCTTTATATCCAATCAAATAGTTTTATCAGATGATTGGTGTACTTCAAAACATAAGAGTTAACCATTATGATAATGTTTATACAGTCAGGCACATACAAAAGCAAACCACCAGAGCCTTACCTACTGCTTTATTTTTTGCTGCCACGTACGCAAGGTACGCCGGCGAATTATGGTATGTCTTCAAGCTTTTCTCGTACTCGGACTGGCCAAACGCAAATGAAGTGCCCCATCGTGCAAATAATATGGTGTGGTGCATGTGGACGACAAAATTAGCGTTAGCTATTCGTATGGGTTAGTCACAATAGGGAAAAGGGTTGCCACCTAGGTATCAAGAAATATGTGATATATTGTATTTTAATCTTCCACCGTGCAAAAGTGTTTTGGATGGGTTAAAAGCGACTATAATTTTATTGATGATTGGCATTGCGGAATCTTTTCTATCACCTAACATGATACGAATCAAGTGTTTATTGTTATGAAAGCATTGTTGTATTTTTTCAACATTATTTATTATTTTTATTTCTCTATTTTAGTTTACAAACACAGGTTGTTTTCATCATTAATGTTATTTAAATTTAATTAGACCTGTCCAGTAAATATTTACAAGCACATTGCCATTTTGTCTCTTAGATTATGACAGATTTCCCTTTATAATAGTTTTACTGCGCAACAATATGTCACTGTTAAATACTTTTATTTTAGAATTTATTATTGCCATAGTCAGTCAATAAAAGAGATAGCATTTAATAACCTGTAACACGTCATAAGAAAATAGAAATTTTATTTAAAAAACGGTAAAAAATTGTTCTTAATATTTTAGTGCTGTATAGATCTGTAGTATTTATTCTTCAATAAACTAGGTTTCGTAATCAATCGATATCTGCTCGATTATAAATGATGATTTCTACAGTTAGACGATTTCTATCGATAGCGCAATAAACGATAGCGTTTAAAATTATAGATAATGCAGTAGAATACTTGGCATATAGTTGTTACACTATGACTCACGAGTAGTGATCTAGTGGTATAGCATGGATTTGTTTTACAAAATAACATTTAGTCAAAATCAAAATGCATTTCAAACTTTAAAAGGTCATATAAAAAACTTAATTTTGTATAATGTGGTGTCGACTGCTAAAAAATAAAATGTGAATTACCTCCTTTTTACCTCATTTTTTATGAGTGTAATTGTCTCTACCAGACACAATATTATCAATCTTTTAATGGTGTTGATGTGCTCAGATAACTATGTGCTTCTGTTATTCAATAAACATATCAATATACCTATATGATTCATAGCCCGGTCAATACCCAAATCCTGTGCAGTGAAATGTACAGTGGCTAATATACCCAATGGGAAATGTGTTTATGGTATGGTTGTGTGGATCGGATTGAACTCTGACATAACATAATACGTATTTCCAAAACACCGTGTTAAATGAAGCTGGTGATGATGGCATTGTTATATACAAATCTGGCCTCATTTTGCTCAAACATGAGTCTAAATTGCGATGTACCTCTAGTTTTGTGCGCCAACCACTGAATGTAGGCGGGCGAAGATTGGTAAGTTTTCAACATTTCTGTATACTGCGCCTGAGTCCAAAATAAACTTTTTTTTACTTATTTCTTTTTTCTCAACGGGAATGACAAAATAAACACTGTTTCAATATATTTTTTTAGAGCAATAAAGCAACATCCTCCAAAAAAACTAATAACAAAATTAGTTTTCTAAATCCCTAGTAATTTTATTGAATAAAACTACATTGGTGTCGATTCTAGCTGGATTTGCTAAACCTAAAATTAAATTTGACAACAGTGTATGTGTAATTCTCTATACAGAATGAAAAGGAGAGAGTGATATTAAATTAAGTTTTAAGTTTAGAGAATCATACCAGAATCCATTCCATTATCGACTTTATAAGCTTCAATAAAAAAAAGTATTACCTTTTCTGCTTCATATTCATCTACGAATCCAGCTTTCTCAGATTCAGGCAAATCTCTCCACATGCCTCCGATGATTCTGCCGATCTCCCATAACTTCAAGTAGGGGTGTGATGCCTTTACACTGTCCCAAACCCGGCGGGAGTACCTCATGTATGGCATCAGGGGCTTTTCTGGTGGCTTTGGTGGTTTTGGTAGGCCAGCACCCTGAAATATTGCATACAAATTAAGGCAAATAGTTTTGTTGCCAAATGTTGAAAGCAAGACAGCAAAGGTGCAATTACACTTGGTTGTTAGTTCGAAATTCTGGTGCACGAAAAATATTACTTGATTTCAAATACCCAATGAAATATTAACATTGTTTTACTCATGTTCGGGTACTGGAACACGGGCGTACGCGCCTTTGTTCGTTACACTTAGTCATTTGTCCGAATTTCATAGGCAATCGTATAGAAGCTAACAACCAATGTAATTGCGCCTTTAGGAAAAAAAATTGAATCCAGCTGATTCAACATTATTTTAAAGTCAATCTTTGTTTTTCCGTCCCATACAGCCTACCAGTAAAATAGGATATTTGAATCAGCATCAGAATGTCAATTTACTCATACTCTTGTTTTGTACATTTCATATATAAAAATATTGAGAGATTTAAAGATCTTGTATCCTATCTTTATATACTATATTATAAATAGGAAAGATTTGTTTGCCATTGTAATCAATTAACTCAAAAACTACCGAAAAAATTTCAGACTTTTTTACCATAAGAAAGACAATATTGCTGAGTGAAAAGACTTAATTTTATCGCGTTAAAATAAATGCCCATGGCCGATTGCTAGTCATGAAATAAAATACAAAAATACTCACCGCCCCAGCACCTTTGCCAATCTTCTGCGGTTGGAAACCAGGATGCGAATGAATAGTGGAAACAAACGGGCTTGTCTTATCATCCTTCCCAGACTGTGCGGCCTGGCCGCCGCCGGAGCCTCCAGTGGCGGAGCGCCGCGCGCCCTCTGCACCGAAACGGGGCTGTTGCGGTTGGCTCTGAGGCCAGCCTCCGTACCCACCCGGGTGGCCCATCTGACCACCCTGGTATTGCGGGTGGTAGTGGTATTGGTTATGGTGCGGCGGCGGTGCATTCATACCGCCTTCAAGCCAAGCAGCGGGGCGGCAATACAATGAAAGAAAAAACAAAAAGCATAACGGATGGGATAGGGTTTGGGCGAGGGCGAACGAAAGATAAACAAATATATAAACTAAGTATTTAGTATTTTACTCAATGTATATTATTAAAAGTTTAGTACAGCGAGCAGTAAGTGATCAGCGCAAAGTAATTAAAGTATATTTAGTAGGCTTAAAACAGCATAGTGAAGGAATTATAATAAGATAAAAACAAAAGATTAAAAACAAAAAGAACTGCAAAGTAAAAGGGAAGAATTATATGGCTTGTGATGTGGAAACGAATAAGATTTGTGCTTTAAAATAAATAATACAATAATTATCCCCACAGAATACCTAAATCCATAACAGATGAGCGGGTGAGAACAAATTTTGAAAACAAAAAGTAATATAATCAGACAGTTGTATTACCTTTCATCATACCGAAACTCATTGGGGGCCCCGCAATCATGTAGTCTGTTTCAACATAACAAAACATGAAACAAAACCAACATAAGAGAACAATGCAAGTATAAATGCGAGGAAATTTGAAATTAACAGAAACAAAAGATCGTTAAGTACTACAAAAACTTCTGAAAAAGCGCAGAAATGGAATCATGCTGAGGATCAACGCAGTTAGATACCAGCATTACCAAGAAATCAGCCCTGCTAAGCTTGCATCGGCGTATACTTGGCGCTATTGCATTTTAGTAAGTTAGTATCTAACATTCTAAACAACAATCACAACACTATACTTGATTTGATGCAAAAATTAGACTTTGAACAGTAAATAAATGATTTTATCATAGAGGTTTCAAGTTCTATGTTGAATTAAATACTCTAAGATACAAATAAAAAAACACTACCATTCTAATATCTAGAATAATTATATTAGATAAAAAGAATACAAACGCGGATTGTTTTGTGGACTTGGCATCGACATTGATGCGTTTTGTTTGTAACTGTTTGGTGTTGCCATAACAAGTCCACCCTGTAAAGAAAAAAATACACATAGTTATGCACCCCAGAAAACTTCTTGAGCAACAACCATGGACAAGGAAGCCTGCACAATAGCAATTTACATAAAAACATCTATTGTGCGAGTTTGTCTGCAGTTTTGCTCTACTCCACGGGTTATTCCACTTTCTATACCTAGGTAAGTAAGGTCTAATACAATAAGCTTCCTATGATGCTGCTTTGTGTCACTGACCCAATTATTATGTGATTTCTGGCTTCTGAAAAGTTCTACCAGTTCACTGCTATAGAATACAGACTCAATGGGAGGAGAAAACAACAAAATTATTAAAGTTGTGGTATTATTTATCACCATTAGTAATGTTGTTAGGCAATTACACTCATCTCTCACAACGAGGTCACGCTCTGTAGTACTCCTATTAAGGTTTATCATTTATAAATTACCTAAAACAGCAGGAAACAGAAAGTAACAATTATTGCTTAAGCACAATACATGCGGCTTTTAAAAAACACGGTAACATGTAACACGTCATTGAATAAGCAGAGTTTTTCTTCCATAGTGCGTAAACTATTGGAATATTTACAACCAGAACCATCCGTTTGAACATCAAGACAGAAAAGAACTAGTTCAATTTGCAAGACCACCTTTTAATTGAAATTATTAATCTTACCTGGACTTAAGTACCTATTCCCAAGGAATTTCTATACATAAATAACTTTATTGCAGAAAAAATATAAAGATTCCGGAGCGTCCTGGTCAAAACGACGCCATATTCTTTAACAATTTGACAAATTGAGAGTTGCCAATCTGCTTCTAAAATTACCACAAATGTAAATGATAATAATATAAAAAAAAAACTTGTGAATTTATTAAAAAAATATATGAACAATAAACTGGAAGCACAATCTTGCTTTTTAAGATTCCCTGATTAAATTGACCAGAAGTCGCTTTGAATGCGAAAATACCTGAAACAATACATGATTTAATTCCAACAACTGGTGGTATCTTAATAAAACGAAGAAGTAACTGTAAACATCACGCTAAATGTCCCAAATACAATAGGAGCTTGTAAATATTTCAAAGATCAAGTTATTTCGGGTCTGGATTTTATAGACGCTCGATGACATGCTTTAGTTTTCCTAAGTCGAAGGGTAAAATTCAGAGGCTGGTAACATTTTTAAATAGTTTTTTAATATTCTCCCTTTTCTGTTAAGATAAAGGATGCCAAGCCCATCCTATCTATACAGCCTTATTATCTTTTTATTATCCCTATGATTAAGTCAAATGATATTAAGTTCGTTAAGCTTAATTTTTCAGCTTTTTATTTTAATTGTTTAAACAAAAGCACTATGTGTAAACGTAGGTTATGTATATTAATTTGTATACTATTTTTTTGCTATATTTCTGCTGGATGGTTTAATTTAATATTTAAATTCACAACTGAATTCAGAAGGTGGCGCTGCAGCCTGGTTCTAGGATTTTTATCTAGTAGGTCCGGTAGTTGTTACATTTTACAAATAAATAGGTATCTTGCTAATACCAAAGTAATCTTTATTTTATACCTACCCATAGATATCCCTTGCAGAGCAGCATTGCTGCCAGCTGTAACGCTGCTCCCATGCTGCCCAGTAAGCCATAAACTTATATTTTTAACGCGATTTGTCTGCGCTAAATAATTGTATCCCATACATTTATCTAGATTTTTGAGGCTATGCAATCAATATTATGTCCTTAATGAAACTGTACAGTTAATGCGTCTTAATTTAGTACGATTTACTTAGTTTGTGGATTAGAGGGCTCACATTTAATCGGAAGAGATGTTTTGGGGTATCACGCACCTACAGCATTTGCAAATATCCTTATCAATATTATAGTTTCAAGGTGATAATACGTTATTATACTAGCGTATTTCCTTTTTTTCTTCTTTTTATATGTAGAATATTCTCACAAAACAGAATTTCTGTCCCGTGAGTAACAAAACAGAAAATTTTCTGTCCCGTGAGTAGGTATACTACTAGTAGTACCTTATCAGTAGGATTAATTATATTTTTAGCCGGTTACACACACTTCAGATTTACTTCCGACTAAGTTTACTATTAGCCTGGCCAACTGACTTTTTAATCGTTTAGGCTTAAAATATAACATTAGGGATGCCACACAGACATATATATAGTATTATATGTATGTCTGTGGGCTTTCATAACATTATTATAGCTTTGCCTTTCTTTTGGGTTCGTTATGTAGATTCTTGAATGAAAGATTATTGGGGCGTTGTTAATATTTTTATTGCACACTCACATGTTACAGCTTACAGCAATGGTGGATACCGGGGAAGAGAGCCAGCGGCCCTCGACATAGACAATAATAATTTATTTTAACCATAGACTACAACAGCCTTATCATTCCCTTCCACTTTCTCCATATAGCAAACAGGTCATAGGCCAGGGGCGTATTTTAAAATGTGGCACCACGGGCCTTTTAGATTTACCGCTCCATAAATTACATGAAAAAAGTATTTTCCTATAACAGCTTTTCTTTCGGCCGCCCCTTGTAGCCGCCCTAGAGTCAAAAATACCATAGAGTAAATTCATAGAGACCCTACTAGAGTAAGGTCCTTAATAAGGTCATAGAATGGATAATCAAAAATTTACACTCTCCGATCCGTGCAAGGAAAGCGAGAGTAAAACCTGCCGCCCATAGGCGCATTAATAATACCTAGATAAGAACAAACTTTTCTATACAAAATTTGACAATGACGATACGTTACGGAGCTGATAAAAATTCGAGCTTGGGCCTCTGGACTCCACTGTCACGAAACATCAGGACATAAAAAAAATACATTGATTAAATAAATGTTACTTTAACTTTAGTATTTGACGATCTCCATGCCGTGAGCAACGATTAGTATGCACGCGCCGGGTTTCAGTGTCGCCTACTCAGAAGTCCGGGTTCGGATCCTGGTGGGGCAAATGTTTGTTTATATAGATATCATCATCAGCCTATTAATGTCCCCACTGCTGGGGCACAGGCCTTCTCTATGGATGGAATAGGGAGATTGGGCCATGACCCACCGCGCGGGCCCAGTGCGGATTGGTGGGTGCTAACGACTGCAGATGCAGCCGGGACCAACGGCTTAACGTGCCTTCCGAAGCACGGACCACTGCGAAAGTTGCTTAACTTCAACGGTCGCAGCCGAACGCGCTAACCACTTGCGCCACTTATTACATAGATGAATGATTGGTCTGGCTTCGAAGCGAGACCAATCATTTATCTATGACTTTTTATATGTATCTTTAGTGGTAGGTATATAAGTATTATATCCGTTAACCTACTATTACATAACACAGGCCTTACAGTGCTTACTTTGGGGCTAGGTTAATTAGTGTAAGTGTTGGAAATATCAATTTATTAAAATGCAAATAAGACGAGTTAAAATATTTTTTTACTTTAAAGCTCTCGTGATAGCCCTATGTAAATGCGGAAGTTGGCACCTCACTTTTCTTCAACGCGTAGCCGTATTTTGGCTCGCATTCACGCGTCTACAAAATGTCGCGGTTAGGTTGGCTTTCCATCAGAGCTTAGAGATATAAAGAAAACACAAATATATTTACAGTTCATACAGTCACGGTTTATCACATTATGATAAGTTTTCGCTTGCATTAGTGGAAGAAATGCAACATACTCGTACAAAGAACAGTGCTGCTACATTTTTAATTTAATGTGACATGCATCATCATCATCATCAGCCTATTAATGTCTCCACTGCTGGGGCACAAGCCTTCTCTATGGATGGAATACGGGGATTAGGCCATGACCCACCACGCGGGCCTAGTGCGGATTGGCGGGTGCTAATGACATGCATAACTGACATACAAATTAATAGAAATGATAATTGACAATTTATATACCTACCAACATCAGGATGACCTCCGAGGTCGAGTGGTTTGTACGCCGAGTTTCATGGTGTCGCCGACTCGAGAGTTCCCGGGTTCGAATCCCGGTGGGGGCAGATGTTTTTGTGATAAATACGAGCATTTGTACTCCAGTCATGGATGTTTAATATGTATTTCTATAAAAATATACTTATATAAGTACTGTATATGTATTCTATCCGTTACCCTAGTATCCCATAAGACAAGCCTTACAGTGATTACTTTGGGGCTTGGCTAATTGGTGTGTGTTAAAAAAAAACCAACCTACGTTTCATAAATTTCTGATTCTAATTCAATAGAAAATTTTACTTAAGAAAATCTACATGGTCCGGTTCCGCTATCCGGGTGGACGAAAAGAAACAGTAAATGCCTGTAATAAAAATATGGATACCTAACAATAATTTCGAAAGACGCAGTTATGCAAATGAAAATCACGTAAATATGAAAATTTTGCGTGATTTCCAAAAATAAATTATGTCTGGCCAAGAGCAATAATATCAAAGTCAAAGATAAACATCGCTAGCATAGTTTGATTGCTAGTATCGCTTCGTTACTTTCTTAGTGGACAACCGCCCCTAAACGCAAACTGTTTGAGCGATTAACACTAAACATTTAATTGCGTGGGAGTATTGTTAAATCTATCTTACACTGTTAATATAAACATATCTTATAGGTTTTATAAGTGAAAACACAGGTCATAAATTACTAAAAAGTATAGCAAAATATATTTATGAGCGTATATTTCAAGACAAGTGAAAGGAGAAAATCAACTAGTATTATTTTATTCCATAAAAAAGCCAAAAACAGGAAATAACTTAATAAAAACTGGTAAAATCCAATTGCGAGGGCGCCAGGCCCCAGCAAGAGTGTGGCCCCGGGCAATTTCATGTTCATAGAAAAGTTTCAGTCCCTTCACAATGTGATTAGTAACTTTCATTATTCTGACAACCTTGACCAAGTCAATATAATAGTTATTTATTATACAAGAGTGGAAAGTTCCTTTTTAACCGCGTGCTCGATTTGGATGACCGAGCAAGCGAAGGATTCTAAAGTTGAATCACGAGCGCAGCGAGTGATTCTAAATTAGAATCCTGAGCGTCAGCGAGGGAAACAAACGAGCACAAGGTGAAAAATCTTTCCACTCGAGTGCAATACGTAACGTACGTTTCATCCCACCTCAGCGAGGAAATAACAAAATGAAAAAGAAAACAATTTATAATGACAAAATATTTTTATTTCAATTAAAACACATTAAGATAATCTATAAATTGAAGAAAATAATAAGAAGTAGAAAATAATTAAGAAATATTAAATGTAACGTTGCTACAGTTACTTATGTTAAGTTTAATATTTTTGTTAGGTAATGTTATGTTGGTGTTTGTGAATTGTGCGCTGTTTTGTGGTAAACTACTCGTATCAGTAATTTTAAATAGTTGTGCCGATTCATTGGATTCTATTGGCGTAAATGTTGGCGAGAGAGGGCTATTGTTTCCAATCTTATGGGGGCTCATTTTAGATGTAGAAGGGCGAGACCAAGAATCTGACAGAGGTTCTTTCAGCGTTATGGCCTCCACGATACTATTACAAATTTTTGATTTACTTTGGATTGAATCCTCTATGTATCCCTCTACAACCGAATTAGACTTCCAGCCTCCATGGCGCTTAAGCGATAGAAGATCAGCCCCTGATTCGGCCAAAAGTGTGGCTGAGGTTCTTCTAAAACAGTGACCGGTGTATAACGGGGGTTCTAAAAGTCCGAGAAAAGTTGCTATTTCTCGTGGAATACTGCCAATTTTATTCTGACCCATAGGTTGTCGGATACACTTTCCGTTGCGATATTGTAGAAAAAATCGTTCAATTGGGGTGTTAGAAGGA